CATTGGCGTGCGTTCATTATAAGTGCCGCCGTGGCCGGCGGGTGTATGCCCTTCCGAGAAATTCGGCGGAAGGAGCATGAAAATATCGATGACAGATTGAGTACGTTGCGTTTTGATGGCGTAGCGTAGCGCTTTGTATCACGGAGCCGTTGGAAAGTTCTATAGTCCTCGTCGCCACATAACCAATCCGGAAAACGGACTCTTCGCTCAGATCGCGTAACGTACCCTATTGTTGGTGTTTCCTTCATTCTTTTGATTATTAATAATTGAGCCGCTTTCGTTGCGGGCGTTTGTCTGTTTTACCGGAATAAGCACGCTACGGATTTCGGCGGTTTTCGCTTCGAGGTCCTCTGGTATTACAAAGGCTGGTTTTAATCGGTCTACGGAAACCGTTACGTCACGATTGTTGACTCTAATTGTGTATGTTTCTTCGTCTCTTCGTGTTACTTTAAACGGCCCGTCGTAATGCGGCTGTAAAGGGCCTCCAATCGCGTCATATCTCCGACTAAAACTCGCTGAAAATGAATACTTTCTTTTTGCGGTATCGTGTAACAAGCTGTGGCCTGATTTTTTCCATCTGTTCTTTTAACAGGTTCGCGAATTCCGAGTTGGCCCGCTGATTAGTTGGTAAAACAAATTGTGCCGGTAATTGTATGCCGATGCCGTAGATCATGTCGGCTGCCGTTGCGTTAAGGTCCTTCCTTTATCGCGCTGCTAATGCCTAATAGTACAATTGGCAAAATTTCAGGTCCGTTGCTCATGACGTGGCACTTGATTGTCGCTTTGAGCTGTGTATGTAAGCGCTCTACCATCCCATTAGACGCGAGATGATAGACCGACGTGCGTAGATGGGTGACTCCGAGCAACCGGCATAACTCTTCGATTCGAATTGGCGTCCCTGGTCGGTTGTTATTTTTAAGGGAACGCTTAAACGAGAGATCCAGGTCGAATGGAGGGCCGAGGCAACAGTTGGCGCTTCCATGTTAGCGATAGGAATGACTTCGGGCAAACGCGAAAAACAATCGATAGACCCGTATTGCATTACGCTAATGTCTACGTGTATATACACGTATCGACCTTCGAATTGACCTTCTAATGTTTTAAACGTTCCGACTGGTGAAGATACGTGCCTGGCGACTTTTTATTACGTTGGCATTGTCGCGTCCACGTACGGCAATCTTTGTTTACAGACGGCTAGACAAAATGTGTGGTCACCAGTTTTTGCGTGGCTCGTATCCCCGGATGGGAGAGTCCGTGTAACGACTGTTGCATCGTAACGGCTTCGGTACAGCAAGGTTTCGGTCGAAATGTCGCAATATATTTCCTCGTCGGAAAATCGAATTTTCTCAAGTCGCAGCGCGCGAGAGTCGGAGTTGAGGATTTGGCGCAGTTCATTGTCTCTTCCCTGCGCTGTTGTTGCTAACGTTCTGTGATATACCGAGTTTTCGGCTGTCTTCTCCATTTTTTCATCCATTACCTCAATTCCTTTCTCCCTGTCTGCTGTCTCTTTTCCTGACAAGTTGTAACTATCCAACGTGTTTTTGAAATCTTCCCGATCTCCAGCGTTCCTTGGTCTTCCTCTGTTTAACGCCATCTTTTGTTCCCCTACTTTACTCTATGTTCCGCGCTTTTGCCTTCCTAACCTCTTCTCCGTCCTCGTGTCACCTACGCCTCGAACCAAACCAAAAGTCGTAAATTGCGCTACATAATCTAAATAGCAAAATTGTCTTTGCGAACTTTTTTCCAGTTCTTGTAGAAACGCGTAAATGAGGAGTTTGTGGTCGGTATAGGTTTTGAAATATCTACCCTGAACGGCGTGTTGAAAGCGTTTTACAGCGGTGTAGATCGCGAGCAGTTTGCGATCGTAGGCACTGTACTTTTGTTGTGTGGGTGTTAGGATTTTGCGGCAAATCCTAGCGGTTGTCATTTGTCATTCGCGCATTGCTGCAAAACGGCTCCTACTGCGCAGTCTTACGCGTCTACTGTAAGGCTGATGTGCGCACCAAGTATCGGATGCTCTAGCATCGTGGCGTCCGCGAGAGCACGTTTAGATTTTTCGAAATTTCCGCGTTTTTGGACCATTCAGTGAACGCGTTGCCCTATCTTAAGAGGTTGAAAAATTCTTGCTGCCCCTGTTATGAAATGTCGGTAGAAGTTATCATACCGAAGTACCTTGGTAATTGTCTTACGTCCGCGGGCTCCGGGATGTTGATGATCGCTTCGACGCGTCCATTTTTGTCACGACGTGCAGAGGTGATTCCCACAGCTTTTCGATGATCTCATCATGTCTTGCTCAATCAGGAGCTCAAATTCCACTTTTACCTGCTTTTGAGCCTATCTAGTGCGAGGCGGCGGGGTTTGTTGTAAACTGACCGGCCTGTCGTGGTTTCGATGTGACGTACCACGCTGTATCGAGCCTTTTCTTTTCCGTAAGTCGGCGGACGAGTGAGGCCGGGAAATTCCGTCAGTAGTTGGTGATACTCTGAATCACCGCAGGTGATTGTTATCGGTAGGACGTTGTCCGTGGCCGCGTGTCCCTTCGAAGATATCTGGAACGTGTAGAAATCTAGAAATCTAGAACATCTAGAAATCTGTTATTACGTGGGTCTACGAGGAACCGAAGTGACTTAGCAAAACCATGGCGATAGTAGGTGTTAGAGTTTGGACGTCGGCCACAGTAAAATTTCACTTAAAGACACGTCATAGGGACAAATTCAGATGGATCGCGACGGTCTCGTACGTTGCCATTCGTGTCCCGTTAGCCGCGAACAACTGGTACTCGCTGTTCTTTGTAACTCTGCGGATTTTGCTGCGTGGGTAGACGCTAATGTCGGCGCCGGCGTCTACCAGATACGAAACGCGCGTGTTTTCGCCGTCGTCGTTCACCGCGTTTACGGACGGCTGGCCGCGTTTCCCGAATTCCAATTTCATGGTGAATTGCATGCTCTCGCGCGTTCCCGAAACGTCGCGTGGTAGAAATAGAACCCATCTTGCCGCTGCGGTATATTGTACGACAGCGTGATCGTGGTCGCGGTTATCGACGGTTATCCACGCACAACACGTTCATTTGCGCTTGCATGTGATTCATCTGCTCTCTTAACGCGCTGATGGCGGCGGCGGTCGAATCGCTCGTCCCGACGTTTTGTACAGGTGAATTGCTTATCACTGTTATCCAATCTGTGCTGACCGCGGCAATTTGTCCTGGGTCCGGGCGTTTGTCGTGGATGCTGTCGGCGATTCGGGTCAGTGTTTTGGGTTTTTCCCTGCACGGAGGCCAGGACATGCTACACGTGAACTGGCAGCCGGCCTTCCCAGACGGTGAGAATGAAATCATCCGATGTTGCGGGGGCTCCTCAAGTTCCGGTAAAATTGGGAGGCTATTCTGTCGCCTGTTTGCTCGTTTTCGTCGGGGGAGAGTCGGAAAATTGAAATTCGTCGTGATTCGACGGTTGCATGTAGCGGTGACGTTTTTCCCGGAGTTTTATTAAACTTAGTCCCTGCCTTTCGGCTTTGGACGACTTCCGGTTTATATACTTTCTTACATTACTACTTAAGTCACCTTACAATACACTTATTCTACCTTGTAATACGACATATGTTACATTGCATTTCGTTATTTTGTCCTAACCCTTCTGCCTGTCGTTCTTTGGTCTTTGAATCTAGCTGTAATCTCTTCTCTTCTTCATTATCTCTTTCAGCATTGCTAGCCCCTCTCCTGTCTCCTTTAGTGTCTCTTCCAGTCCCTTTGATCCCCCTGTTACCTCACATTCTTCCAGTCTCATATCTTCTGTCTCATATCTTCTGTCTCATATCTTCCTCTCCTTTTCCCGGAGTTTATTGGTCATTATTATTTCACGCGTCAAGGCTAAGTCAATGTCCCCTCGTGTCGTCCTTTGACTCCTGTGCCGCTACAGGTTTATTGAGGGTCTATCTAATTGTGCTTGGGCCTTGACGGTCAGACGATAAAGGACGTCGCACGGACCATTTCACGGGACGTAACACCATTTTTTAGCGATCATGGTCTCAGATGAATTAATAACAGCAAAAATGCACTGTCCTTCTGTATTGTCAAATTTTATCAGAATGTATTAAATCAATAAATATAAACCCTACTTTGGCGAGCATGGTCCCAAATGTATTAATGTTACCAAAAATGCACTTCACATAACGTGGAATTGCTTTTGTATGTTGTGTTAAATTGATAAATATAAACAGTTTCGATTATTACGAATATTTTAAAGACCAATCATTTTGACTGCTCTTGGTAGAAATAGTTTAGTCTTAACTGTCAGTATTTCTAGTGTTAGCCGTTCACACGGTTTAGACCACTACGTGTTCCGGAAATGGCTGAAGTAGCACGCAGGGATAGAAATCGGTTTGCTACACTCGGCTCCTGTCATTGCCTGTTAATTAATCCAGGTTCGAAAATTCAGAAGAGTTTCAATTTCGTGTTCACTTTTTCTTACTGGTAGTCGACTACTCTGTAACGATCGAAACTTGACCAGTGTTGACAGTGTTTGTGCTTGGCCAGACTTCCTAACTTCGTCCCGTTCGTCTTCTTCCTCCTCTTCTTTTTCGCCTCCACCAATTTCCACTCTCCACCCTCCTGCTCCCTCGGGAGCGGTCCTTGCTCGGACGTGCTTCGGGGGTGTGTTGCCGTCGTGTACGCCCGAAACGCTCCTCTATGGTCCTGAGAATGGAGGGTCCTAGCTCTCGGACTACCCTCTCCACGGCATCTAGACGTGCCCTGTCGCTTCCGCCTTCTCGGTCGTACTCAGACGTCGCACCGGTGCACCGCGGGCACTCGTGAGCGCGAGCAGCCAATCTCCTCAGTTCCTGGCGGAGGGCTGCGTTTTCCTCTTCCAGCACGGACAACCTCGTGTCCACGTTGTCGGTGAGCACGGACAACCTCGTGTCCACGTTGCCGGAGTCTCGCGCTGGCCTCGTCCTCCTCGAGGATTCCTCGTTCCAAGCGGCGGTGATGTAACTCGCCGCGTTCTTTAGCGATCGACGGAGCGGTCCTTGCTCGGTCGCGCTTCGGGGGTGTGTTGCCATCGCGTGCCCCCGAATCGTTCCTCCACGGTCCTGAGAATGGAGGGTCCCAGTTCTCGGACTACCCTTTCCAGAGCGTCAAGGCGAGTCCTGTCGTTTCCGTCTTCCCGCGGAGGACCGTCGTATTCGGACGTCGCGCCGGTGCATCGCGGGCACTCGTGGACGCGAGCAGCCAGTCTCCTCAGTTCCTGGCGGAGGGCTGCGTTCTCCTCTTCCAGCACGGACAACCTCGTGTCCACGTTGCCGGAGTCTCGCGCTGGCCTCGTCCTCCTCGAGGATTCCTCGTTCCAAGCGGCGGTGATGTAACTCGCCGCGTTCTTCAGCCTCCGTATGTAGGTCCCTTTAAGGTTTGACGATGTCGTCGCTACGTGCATTATTTCCGACACGTGCATCGTCAAACCCGCGCTGATGTCCGCCGGGGTGCTCGTCCTCATCTGTGCCTCCAGCTCTTGGGACACCTCCGGGGTCGCGGGTGTTATTCTCCGCTTCTTACCCCTGGATGCCATCGAAGCCAGCGACGAGCGCGAGGCGACCGAGGCGACCGACTCCTCGTCGTCGGACCTCGCTCGCGCCCGCGATCCCCACGCCATGGGTAGCGTGCCGTCGTCGAACGTGGCCGGTGCGAGAAAGACGCACTCCGACCTGTCCGCGGCTCTCGGCGAGCGTCTAGTGGCCCTCCTCGGAGGCTCCTCCGCGGTCTCCAACCTGCTGTCCTCCGGTTGTCCTCCTGTTATTATGGTCTTCCTACTTTTACTTTCTCCTGTCCCATCGCCAGGCGTAAAAACGCGTCCGGGGGCCTGGCGGTCCACCCTCGAACGGCCGTGGTCGCGAGATGTCGACGCAGCGGGGCCCACTTGACTACCCACGACTGCGCCGGTACTGGGGTATCCCTCCCCTGCACCGTAAACTCTTTTCGTACTATTGACACTATCCATGATTCTTTTGTTTGTTTCGCCAAGGTCGTCAGCAGAGTCTCCGTCCTGGTGCCACTCACTCTTTCGCACCCTGCCCCGGTCGGAGCCGGTGCAGGGTGACAGGGAGCCCCGCGAGAAGGTGAGGTGAGTGGTCTTGACAGGCATGGGCCCACCAACTTCTCCGAAGTTCTCCGCACCGGATCGGCGTACCGACGGGCGCCAAGGGCACTGATTGAATTGCCTCTAACGCTGTCGCTCCTTAGTGATATTCAAGGGAGGCTTGCCTTGTGTGCTTCGACCATCCAGCGCCCCAGGGGGCCCACTCCAAGGGCGAAAATTGGCTTCGGCGCTTCTTCGTCAACACCTTACGAGCGGTCACCCATCCTAGACCGCTCCGTGACCGCTGCTGCTTAACTTTCGTGATCGGTCGGGAATGAGTGTTTCCACCGCGGCTAACGGGCGTTGACTGGCCAGACTTCCTAACTGCGCTAGACGTAACTAATTATCAAACTTGTAAAATTATGTTCTCATGCCGTTTATTATCTATCTTGTTGAGTTTTTGTTTGGCCAGAAGTTAACATTGTTACAATATGTATCGAGAACAGTCTTCGTTTAGTTTGATTTCCTTACTTGGCGCGTTGTTGGGTGCCCCAGACAGGGAAGATGCCGATATCTTACTTACTAAGGGGAAAATTGCTTGGAAAGTCGCGAGACACCTTTTCCAACCTAATGAATCAAAATGTCAGAGCACACGCAGCCGTATGTACAGCGATTAGTAAAATTAGTAAAATTGCGCCAAGCGTGATAATATACTACTGAATTGTTACTGAGGTGGTATGTCGTGATAGGGTCGGAAGGAAAACTCAGATTTATTGAACGATAAACGTTTATTCACTCTAATGTCAATGAGTACACTTGACGCAGGATTCGCGGTTATATTCGGTTTGCGAATGCGCGGTTATAAGATAGAGCTTGGATAGTTACGATTCGAGATGCGCTGCGAGTGCGGACAATGATTGCACGAGATGTCGAGAGCTTAGATAATTATTCGGCTCGAACCGTGTAAGTATAACGATCGTGATATGTTGACTCGCGGTAATAGACTGACTTTTTTGTCGCGATGCTGCTGCG